AGGAAGCACCAAAAAAAAAAAAAAAAAAAAAAAAAAGATCACGAGTTAACGGCCTTATCTATCAGATACAAGTCGTATTGGATCTTCCAATTCTTCGTTCCGCTGCTTTTCATTGTGGAGTCGTAAAAGCTCTTTACGTCACTGCTTGGGGCTGACTCGAACAGTAATTCCTCTGCGTACCGTTCTTTGTCCACCTGCGGGGAGAAGGGGGTACAGTGAACTGGAGGAGTACACACAATCATTCAAACGTGCGTATGTAGGGGTGGAGAATCACCCCATCTTTCTAAATGCCCCCAATTCAAAACCCTCTTGGGAGTCCTACCTGCCGTATGTACTGATACATACATAGTGGGATGAAGACGGGGAGCATAGTCCGGCAGAAGGTCCCTGTCTTAATCACCTGCTCAATCAGCCTCTTCGGTAATTTCTCATAACGGAAGGAGTGAAAAAATGAAATGAATGGAAAAAAGTTAATCATTTTGGCACACGCGGTAAGGAAAAGGCGGAAATACTTGTCTCTCTGCAAAGGGGAGAAAAAAAAAAAAAAAAGGGAAGCGATTTGTATGGTGAAGAATTGCACAGTCCTTCTTTGTATGCGCTGACGAAATGGAAGCAAAACAATATTTCTTTTCTTTTCATTTTCTTCGTTGTGTTGTCCCGTGGGAGGGGATGCTATTATGTAGGCCACTACTCAGCGTCGGTACCTGCCCAGTCGTTTCTCCAACACTTGTGTAACACGCGAACTGCCACAAAAACAAACACCTTACAGTTACAGTGTGACAAATATCACATTTCCTCTCTTTACCTTCCTCGTTTCTGCAAAATGAACTTTAAAAAGAAACGAACTGGCTTTCTTCTAAATCTTTTTTTTTTTTTTTTTGTCATCTCTCTACTGGTTAATACATTGTTAAGTAAAAAAAAAAAAAAAAAAAGCTCACTATATCTTAACCCATCTTGGAAGAGTGCAGAAAAAAAAAAATAAATAAAAAAAAAAAAAAAAAAAATCACATTCTTAATCCCCCTCACAACAAATTACACAGGACCAAGTGTACACTTGGCAGTGGAAACCACTTTTTATGTTCCTCTCATTTTTGCATTTTTTGCCCTCACAACTCTGTGTAGGGGGGGAAAATGAATATCTTTTTTTTTTTTCCCCTTCAGTCTTTCCCTTCCCCGTTGTCCCGCGTAACTGTGCATACCGTCCAATTTGGCGCATGCTTGATAGACCCTCGAGTTGCACGCCAACGAGGTGTGCCCATCTCCCTACGTACACTTAAATTTTACGAAGCGGAAAAGCGACGTATGCGCAAATTCTCCACGCGCAATGAAGCCACTTATACATATGTGCACACTGGTTTAACTCGTAAGGGTGGGGAGCAAATCAGGTCAGGGAGACTTGGCCCCGCCGCACACATAGACTAACCAAACGTACGTAACTTTTCACCATAGGAGAGTTGCGATAACTACAGGTGAACAACTAAGTAAATCTGCACACCTCCTGACCCTGCAACTTTTTGTGCCCCACGTGAAGCGAACTTTGTCTCCATGGGAAGGAGGCAATACCAGGTTGGACCAAAATTCCCCTCGTTTTTATACCTCCCCCCCTTCAGATGTGGAGTGTTTTGTCCCAGCATGCGTGAAGAGGAAAAGTGCGCACTGGGAGACCACCGCGTTTTTCATCTTGGCGTGGTTCTGCTCGGAGCGGTTCTGCGTGGTTCATTTCGACGTGGTTTACTTCGGTTGGGCTCTGCGCGGTGCCGTTAGTTCCTCTTTTCCACTCACAACCCGGTTGTGTTTTTTTTTTTTCCACCCCCGTACACAGCACACAGATCGGAGGGCAGAGAATGCAATTTTGTGTCCCCGTTGAGAAAGTAGTTTTCACTTCTTTGCATTACTTTTTGAAATTTTTTTTTTTTTTTTTTTTTTTTTTTTTGG